CTACAATCTCCCCAATCACTGTGGAAAACGTTAATTTTTCACCCCCTCTTCCCCAGAAATGTCAACGCCGCTCCAACCAACGCATCAATCCCCACCCGCATAGTGGGCTGGATAACCGGCGCATAAAACGGCGAATGATTCACAGGAACATCCTTCGCAATCGTCCCATTCCTCTCCGCCTCATCCCACACCTGCGGATCCACGCCGCCAAAAAACCAAAAACAACTCGGCTTCCCTACCGCCGCACCCAGACACCCAAAGTCCTCCGACGCATTGCTTCGCGGCCAATCCGGGCAGAAGCGAAACAGGCCCCCACCCTCCCCGGACCCGCCATCACCAAACAGCCGCTCAAAGGTAACCCCCAACCTCTCCGTAACCGCCCCATCGTTCACCGTAACAGGGAAACTCAACGTGCGCCTGATCTCCGGCTCCCTCTCCGCCCCGCTCGCCATGCTCTCCGCACGCACAATCCGCTCCACGGACGCCAGCACCCTCGCACGCGTCTCCTCATCCGCCGTGCGCACATTCACCTCCATCTCCGCCGTGGCGGGGATGATATTCGGCGCGCTGCCCGCATGCAGGCTGCCGACGGACACGACGCCGAGCCCCTCGACGCTGCCCGAGGTCACCTCGCGGCTGGCGATGGTCTGCAGCCGCACCACGGCGCTGCTGGCCATGACGATCGGGTCGATGGTGAACTGAGGCATGGAGGCGTGGCCGCCGCGCCCGTGGAAGGTGACCTTGAGACAGTCCGAGGCGGCCATCTGCGCGCCCGGCTTCATGCCCATGGTGCCCGCGCGGGCCGCGAGGACGTGCTGGCCCAGGAAGACGTCGGGGATGGGGATTTTGTGTGGCGAGTTGGGCGAGAAGAGGCCATCGGATATCATGCCGGTGGCACCGTCGCCGCTCTCCTCGGCGGGCTGGAAGAGGATCACGAGCGTGCCGTGCCAGCGGGCGCGGAGGGGCGTGGATGTGAGGGCCTCTGTTGCGGCGAGGAGGCAGGCCATGTGCATGTCGTGGCCGCAGGCGTGCATGGTGGGTTTTAATTTGTTGTCGTCATTGGCGTCCTGGGTTGTTTGTTTGCTGGCGTAGTGGAGGTTGGTCTGCTCGTGGACTGGGAGCCCATCGAGTTCGGCGCGGAGGAGGACTGTTGGGCCTGCTGGCCCATTCTGGCCATCATTGCTGTTGCTGTTGCTGTTATTTCTGAGGACGGCGACGACGCCGGTGCCGCCGATTCCTGTGTGGATTTGGAGGTCTGGGATGCTCAGCTGTTGGAGCTTGTTCGCGACATATTTAGCAGTGTTGAATTCTTGGTGGGAGAGTTCTGGGTGGGCGTGCAGGTGTTTGTACAGCTCTTCATACGGGGCGAAAGCCGGACGGTGCCGCTCTACTGCCTGGGATATTTCCTCCACAGAAAAGGAGGTCATGGTAGCTTTAAGCGATTTCAACGTCATAGGCGCTGACTGGCACGGTGTAAAGGGAAAAGGACAGTGGTTAACTAATTGGTGGCTAGATTGATTGATTTATTTCAATTTAATATAATATATATAATTTGTTGTTTTGCTTCCCACGAACCACCATTGTCCTCTTATTAGCCGGTAGCTATTCTTAATATGTAGGAAACAGTGGTCTGCTTCCTCGGTTGAGTTACTTTCATTTCTGAGTTTGTCTAAGCTCAATTGCATGCGGGGTAGAAGTCTACTAGAAGAATGGGGGGGGGTTTACCCAGATACGCCCCTCCAGGATCACCCGCTTATTATCCCTCGGGGCCATTTTCGGCGTTGATGTGCTAGTTATCCGATCAGATAACCTAATCTATGGTAACATTTTATGTATATATAATATATATATATATACCTAGCCGCTGTTAGCCTTGGAAGCCATGGAGGGGGTGTGATGAGAGAATTACCGCATTTGGCAAAATCGATTAGGGCTAAGCTCTTTTTGATTAACGTAAGTCATCAAGATGCTGACCACAAGCTCGAACGGAAATAGTGAACGGCAGGCAGACAGACATATATATTGAGATTGGTAAATAAGGAGGGCTGAGGGAAAAAAGTAACTGGATATATCTATCTACTTTTGAAGCTATGTGCGTCTCCAGAGTGCGTCTCCAGAGTAATCGGCTTGCGGGTTTACAGCGTAGGTAACTAGGCAATATGTTCGAACACTGTTTGGCCATACTAATATTATGACCACCAATTGATATTCCCATTACTTAACGGCAGTGCAACACGACGCGATCACATATTAGATGTACGAGGAGGCATGTAGGGATATTAATAAATTGTAAATATATAACCAAAAATGGGAATAAGAAGGAAATGCAGTAAAACAACAATTTAATCTAAAAGAAGCAAGAAAAAGGGGAACAAGGAAGAGATCCCTCTGCGCCAACAGGGTGAAACAGGGAGATTTCGAAACAATATTAAATAATGTCGATAACTACTTTAGTTAACACAGAGCAAGTAGACACTGGGCGCCAAGCTTCAAGCGAGGAGTGGAGTGGGACGGGGGATTCGGAGCGGGACTAGAAACCGGGAACCGGGAACCTGGAGAGGAATATGCTGGTTGATGATTCATGATTGGCGGTTGCTGGTTGCTGCCAAGTCTCAGATGGGCGCATAGCATAACCTTCCTTACCTTACCTACCTACGCAGTTACATAGTTACGGTTGAACACCCCCGGCACTATTTATAGATTTTAGCTTTGGTGAAACTAACATGTTAGCATGCCTGGGCGCATATCTACACGGCAATGAATGAATTGAATAAAAATGGACTTAACCCGTGTGTTTCTCATTATCAGCATGCTCAGCCCTCTACTTTCGGATTAATGAGGGTCTGCCACTTAATATTTGTACAGAATTCTTGGAGAAGAAATGCCTTGTGAGAAGCCAAGCCCCTCGTACTGTACTGTCGTACAAAAGATATCATCATCTACAATCTCATACATCTACACTAAATATTTCTTCAATTTCTTCAAGTATTATAAAACTATTATTTAGATTCTTTGTCTCTCTAGCTAGCTTCATTTTGTGCTATCTATGGTAGAAATTTTAATGATATATATTTATTGAGATACTATAATTTGAAGATGAGTTGATATTAAGGTCTCTTACACGAGAGTTTTGCACTAATATTTAGAGGTAATAATTCACCTGCCTTTCTGCCTCCCGATATCTGCCGGATCTCTATGAGAATAGAGATTGACAGCTGCCGCTTCCGGCCTGCCTTCTCATATCCGCGAGATCGAGATTCCTAGCTAGCTAGCTAGCTGCCGACCTGCCTGCTAGCCCCTATATTCCCGGCGCCCCCCCCCCCCCCCCCTCCTCTCAATCATATGAAGATTTTTATATTAATATATACTTGGACGTTTATTAATATTTCAAAAACATCACAATGTTTATTTTTAACGATCTTTTTTGAGCTGACACTTTGCACTCTTTCAGTTGAGATATGAAAATAAAAAATCATTCTACCAAAAGATCATTACCGTTATGTCGCTCTTCTGATAGCACTGAAATAATTGAATTGATATACGCAGTAGTTACTATAAGAGATTCAAAGAAATGTTGTTCTAGCAAATTGAAAGAATTGATCTCATGATTTCCTATTTGAGATTAGTGCGTCCATATAGTTAACTAACTAGAGGTTAGCGGGACTTGGCAAGGTCAATCTCAAGCAAAGTGGCTAATAACTTACTCCCGTATGTGTCGGAGGATAGATAGGAACTTACACCAACAGAACAAGAAAACCTACATATTCTACTATGTTGATAAGGTTGCCCGACACAGAGAGGGCGCACTTTGAAACAAGCCATCATCACAAATTTTATGAAGGGGTATTCAAAAAAGCTCTGTTTAGGCAGTGCGCAGTGACTTCTATTGTGATACAGAGTTGTCATCAATTCAGACGCAATTTTTAGGAACACCCGAGCCGAAACAGGGACGGGTGTGCAGAAAGCAAAGAGATCCCGCTAGGCCCTACGCTACGGGTGAATGAACCATATCTTCCTGGGGGAGGACAGGCGGGACAAGGAATAATGGGGAGAGTTGCTCAGCCACAAGGCTGAGTCGGGCACTGGGATGGATGGATCAAAATACAATAATACTATGCGCATGCCGAAACACCGTCTTCCTTTTATTTTTATTTTTCTTCTTCCCCTGGTTCATGTAGGGATATAAAGGGGGAATGGAGCTGCATGTCGTCTATGATTCTCTACAGGTACTGTGCAAATAATAAGGATTTGGGGGGATGATGAATTGGCGGAGTATGCCTTGGAGGGGGAGGTGGGGGGGGGGGGCGTTTTATATCCCAATTTCCCCCTAGCTGCAATTGATTGTCTACTATGGAGTAAGTTAATGTGCCACAGTGTGCATGTACATGTATGTACATGTAGCTACCGAACCGAGAAGATATCTGTGACTAGCAGCCGAACATTGATGGATGATTCCGATTTCCATGCAGAATGTATGTACTCCGTACCAATAGACGTTTATTATTAAACCTGCAACTAGGCCGAAGCCAAAGGGCTGAAGACCAGAAATACGATTAAAGGGCGATCTGGCTCCCGTGGCGGCAGATTGCGCCTGGAGAGTTAACTAGTACAAGAAGAATAGTTCAGAGCGCGATGCATGCAAGTATGTAACTTGCATGTACTGTACTGTACGGAGTAGTTACACATGTAGGATGTAGGTAGGGGATTAAATCATGATATTGTTGGTATGTCTACCAGCTGGTTCTTCTTATCCATTATTTGCTGGTTGTGGGAAAAGGGAGAAAGGATGGTGGATGGATAAAACATTTGTTGTATTCCTTATGTATCTTTCAGTAGGGAGTAATGTAACTCTGGCTGGTGTTCCCGCGCAAGTGATACCGCGGAGTACTTTGGCGGTACAGAGTAGTTACCTGGGGCGTTGCAAGGCCTGGCTGGGATAGCGCCGACTTTCCTTTCTTGGCCGGTTCGACTTCATTCATCTCTTCTTCTTCTTCTTCTTCTTCTTCTTCTTCTTCTTCTACTTAACTATCCCCAACTGCTCTCCGTCCGTCCCCCGTCCTTAGTCCCTTTCTCATCGCCCCAACCCCATCGCTACGTGTTTCGCCTTCGTTTCCATGCCGCCCAAGTAACTTTTCTGTGTCTCTACTCCAGACGCATCTCATTTTCACCTGCTTGCCCTGCCTGTGCGGTCCGCCCGCCAAAGGAGCCCGCACCAACTTCCTCTCCTACACTTCCCCCCTCCCTCCCCTTCCCGACTCTACCATTCAGTCCTTCGCTCGTTTCTCTACGCGCATTGTCGAAATACCGCCCTTATTCTGCCTATTGCTGTATGATGTATTCCTAGGAATTGGTACGTCTTGTAGCTCTTCTGGGACCGCTGATGATTAGATCCTAATGTTTGAAACAGATGCTCGCGCCACGCATCAGATCCCCCGCAGAATATTAAATAAGCCACCGTTTTTCTTCGCGCCCACATCGGGTCCTGCGAATGGTATCCATTTCATCACGACCGCCACCTACGCCGTCGTTCCCCATTAGCATTTGCAGGTGTTCTAGTTCGACTCTCCGCGTTGCCTGTCAGCGAATAAATCTCCCCGCCTCATAACTGGCGAATTTGCTTCCCTGGGAAGATCGTTCGCTCCGCCGCTTTTTCCAACTCTCCGATCTATTCTAGGATACATTCACAGGCAAACTTAACCTTTTTATCCACCACTCCTATATCCACGCGCGCATCTACGCATACATACACACACACACACAATGGAGTTCCCGCAGGAGAACAGGGGGAGGTCTCTCTCAACGGAAAATAAGAATCGCTCGTTAAATCCATCGCCCTCCCACCAGCCTCCATACTACGACAACCAGCCTCCTCCAGCTGGACTCGATCATGCTGGTTCTGTATTCCCCCATTCCCGTGTTCTCACCTCTTCCACTGAGCAATTTCCTATAATCACCCCGTACCTGGCCTCATCTGCGCATGACACCCATTTTCTCCATTCTTCTGGAGCCCCGTCGTCCGAACCACAACCTTTCGGTCAACCTCAACCGTACTCCCAATCCTTCGAGGCCGGCTTCCTCAGCCAGCTTGAGCGCTCGTCTAATATCAAAGCTGCTGAAGGGGAGGAGAACTTCTCCAATCTTTTAAACTCAAATCAGCAATTTGAAGATTTTCCTATTTTCACCAATACCAACCCTACGTCAGATTTTGACTCGTCTTTCATGCTTGACCCACAGCTTAATCAACACCACCACCAGCAGCAGCCGCAGCCGCAGCAACAATTGAACCAGTCCGTCAACCCGGCAGACTTGAGCAGGATGTCATCACCACACAACCCTACTCCACCGCATTTGGTACCGCCTGACGCCCACCGGTCCCCTGGACGGCCATCATCCCCCGCGTCCAGTCCCGGTGCCTATTATACCCCCGGCCATTCTCGCCCTGCGTCATTAGACCCCGCAAGTGCGGCCTTTCTAACGAGCCAACCCCAGTCCGATTGGCATGGAATGTTAGGAAGTCCCGCTTTCCAGACCCATCGAAGAGCGCCGTCAGAACATTCGGACGTTTCTTCTGCTGCCCATTCACCCTATCTGAGTCACCATGATGCCTTTGATGGGGACACGAACAATCATTCCCCCTTACTATCCGCCCAAAATGACCCCGGACTGTATGAGAACGCCTTGGGGATGGAAACATTCACAATATCAGATCAACGTCATGGACTTAGCCCAGGCCATAGCCCCTACATTTCTCCACGCTTACTTCCTCAGCAGCAGCAGAGTCCCGAACCTGGTCAAGATGGCTCATTCCTCTTGACCCAGCACGTGAATAATCAACTCGGACCTACTAGTCCTCCTGACTTGTACACTTCCAGGTCGGAGGCTTCACCCGCGCCGGCTTTTCAAAGTCATAATAGCCCTGCTGGAGATATGGGTCAGGCCGCCCAAATGACTCCCCCTTCTATCAATGTCGAATTTGCGCCTCCCTCGCGAACCACGAGCTTTGGACCGGCCAAACCCGAGTCGGATATGGACACTTTAAGCCCCCCCGTTGGCCGTAAGTATTCCATCCTTCGTATATATCCTCAGGAGCACCCCTTCAAGGAATTATTTACTGAATGATACGGAATAATAGGTTCCCGTGGCAGGAGTAAATCTGATCCATTTGCACATGCCATGACTCGTCCGCTGCCATCGTCGACCACACCCCTTGCAGGGGGTGCGCGCGCCTCATCGCGTTCTCTTTCACCGTTTTGCGGCAGCACAGGCAATTTGAGCACTCCGGCTTCCCGTGATACATCTCCAGCAGCAGCTAAGAATCGCCGGCAGTCGACCTCCTCGATTGACAATCGTAATTATATACTAGATCTTGCAGACCCCCAACGCCCAGGTGCCAGCAGTACCGATTCCAAGCGCGTACAGAAACATCCAGCAACATTCCAATGTAGTCTATGTCCGAAACGATTCACGAGAGCTTATAATTTACGCTCACATCTCCGCACTCATACTGATGAAAGACCCTTCGTGTGTACTGTTTGTGGTAAAGCCTTCGCCCGCCAACATGACCGGAAGCGGCACGAATCACTTCACTCGGGGGAAAAGAAGTTCGTCTGCCGTGGTGATTTAGCCCGTGGGGGCCACTGGGGCTGTGGTCGGAGGTTCGCAAGAGCTGATGCGCTCGGCCGCCATTTCCGATCCGAGGCAGGTAGAGTCTGTATCAAACCTTTACTGGATGAAGAGGCTCTCGAGCGCGAGCGGAACTACGTAGATCAGCAACAGATGCACGGCCACTTACAGCCGGTGACCCAGCAAATGAATATCCCCTTAATGGACGGGCAGCCGACCGGCTTCACACTGCCCGCCGCACTCCTGGCACAGTATCCTGCGCTGCAAACTCTCCAGTGGGACCAGCTGGCGTCACAGCAAGATGATACGAGTGATATAGGCGGCGGCGGCGGAGGAGGAGGCGGTAGAAGCAGCTATGATGCCAGTTCTGGTGGGGAATATGGGTTCGGCGACGATGATGATTCGGGGATAAATAGTGGGTATGTAAGTGGTTCGGGTCAGAATTACTCTCCTGGGCCGCCGTCGCAGGATCAGATGATGGGCGTTCCGCGTGGAGGTGGCAGTTGGGGGTAGCGCGGGTCAACTAGGAATGGAAGGTTGGTCATGATGGGCGCGAGATAGCGTTATTGGTTATTTATTGTGATATTTCCCTCCTGCTCCTCCTCCTCCTCCTCCCTCCCGCTTTCTTTATTCTACCTTTCTCCTAGTTTTGGTTCGGGACAAATACCCTTTACGGCCGCTTTATATATCGATGACTTTTTATTTATTTTTTACTTTTTATTTATTTTACTTTTTCTCTTCCCCCTGTTAGCTTCCTCTATTTGCTTCCGTTCTCACATTTTCTTCTTCTCCTATCGATCTTAGTATTTGTCCTTTTGTTTTTTGCTCCCTTGGCTACGTAAACGTACGGCATAGAGGAAGATGAAACTTTTTTGAGTTTGGACATCATGTGTTGTTTTACAGATCGTAAGTAATAATATATCAACTTCGGGGGGTTCTCTGGTGAACGGGAAGGATTGTTTTATATATCCAAATCTTTTTGTTGTTTGTCTGCTTTATTTTATTTTCGATTCTTTTTCTTTTTTCTTTTTTCTTTTCCTTTCTTCTCTTTTCCCCTGTTTTCTTTCCTTTTGCCCTCTGGTACAGAGCCCCCCCCCCCCCCCCCCCCCCCTCCCCCCTGGGGTTGGGAAGGGAAAAAAAAAAAACCGCCCGGTTGGTGCCGCCCGCGTGGGGAGGGTCTCGCGAGGGTCTTTTGAGAATGGGTCGGGGCCGTGGTTTTTTTATTTCTTGGGGTGTGCTTGGGGGGTGTTGGGGAAGGGGAGATGAGAATGAGTGCACCAGTGGGGAGCTTTTTGTCTCGCCCCCTTGGAGGTTTTGGAGGGGGTGTATGTGTTGCTTCCACCCCGCCGAGTATATTGTGTGCGGGGAAGACAATAAAACGCTAAAATCATAATAATATACAAAGTGGAGAGG